GGGGGGGGGGGGGGGGAGGTACTCTTCTAGGAAATGACAATGTATTCGGAACGATTCAAAAACAAAAGTTGGGCAAATACATGTTACATTAATGTAGGAGTATTCTGGAACTCTACTTCCCTACTTTTGTACGATGATGGGTCATTTGGTTTTCAATCAAGCTTGTGAGTACTGTATCTGATTCTTTTAGAATGTGTGTAATGCCTTATTTGTTCACTCTTCTTCCTTCTTCATATATTTTTTCTAAAGTCGAAGGGGTATCCAATATTTTGTAACTGAGGGATCTCAGGAAGTTTATATGTCAATAATTTTGGAGAAAAAGAATCACTGAGCACATGCAAACCACATTGGCAAGACCTCGCATCTCTCGTCTTCCCTCCCCCTAACCCTTTTGGCACAGAGAGTTGTGAACCAATGCTTGTCAAAGTTGATTTTAGATTTGGCTCCTGTGCCCTATGAGACTTGAGTTTCTTAAGGTATTGGGTTTGAGGTAATTGATGTCGATGTTCCTTCCTACCATGGTATTTTATGTAAGAATTAAGAGGGAAGAAGAGTAGATTACACGATGACATTTAATGTTGGGAAAAAGGCCATATTTGTCCCTCTACTTTAGGAAATTATCCATGTTTGTCCCTAGTTCTACTATCCGTCCAAATATGTCCCACCGTTAAGAAAGTAAACAAATTCGCCCCTAACACTAACAGAGTTCCAACATGGCACCGAGACCCTTCTCTTTGACTGCCAACTAGGCAAATGTTCAACCCTAATTAAAAAGAACTGTCTAGGGACAAACGTGGATACTTTCCTAAAGCAGGGAGAGGGATGGCTGTTAATGGGACAAGTAAAAATGGGGGTTGTTGATTGACTTCTCAGGTTGATTCAAATCTCCTATCGTCCTGTAACAGCAAATGTTTGATAGAAATGGTTGGTAATTGGGGTGATATGAGTGGCTGACTGTTAGAAGGAGAGGCGGATATGGGGTGAGGAGAGAGATAGGTTGAGCATGGGAATCTGGCTGAATAATCATGTTGAGCTATTTACTGAAATATTACCTGCTGACATGTAGATAGGAATTAAAGAAGACTACATATGCATCCATGTACATCTTTCTATGTGCCTCAAGTCACATCATTTTAGTTTTGATAACTGAGAAATCCGCTATTTTCAACTTTCAAACTCGGTCGAAAAGGCCCTTCACCACTGTCAAAGCCTGAATTTGAACTCTCGACCAATATGTACTACCCACAATGCATCATGACAATGCTATCATTGAAATCTTAGCTCTTGTTTGTAATCTTGATTATAGTTTATCTGTAGTTGGCAACCATTTAATCTAAACTGCCACTATTCCCATTGATAGGTGGAGTCAAAGCGAAGGAAGAGATAAATAGCTGACCTTGATGCAGTATGAGGAGGTACGCATTTTCTTGCGTACTAGCTCTGGCATTGTTGTATGTGTTATCAAATTGTATAGCACTGAGAGAACACTATCCCTTTTCCAAAAGTCAGAGAACCTTCTTTATTCACTATGGTAACTTGCTATTTATAAAAGTTTGTGCACTAGACTGGGTTGTCAACTGAATGCAAATTGTGTGGCCTAAATGAGTAATTACTGGATATTGCTGAGTCTATCAAAAGATGAATCTTAAGTGGTAAAAGTATCATAAACATTTTAAGTCTAGGTGTCTTTTTCTATGTTCATTTGTTTCATAATTATGACTTTCCTCTTCCTGTGTCTTCCCTTATTGTTCTTGAAAAATGTAGAAGTAGGATTTCTGGGTTAGATGGGAAGCTGGATGTACGATAACAAGCCTCTAAGAGCTGATCAAGAATCGTACTGACGAATAAGAACTTTTCCCATTTGGGAATTGCAATATCTGGAGTCCTTATTTCATAGCGCTATAGCATTTGCTCTATCTATATCTTAAATAGCAAACAAATTGAATTAGCACTTCTCAGATCAAGCTAGGCTAGCCTCTCCAGCTGAGTTGGGGCGCCAAGGCCATGTATGCACTAGCAATTGGTACATAGGAGAATGCAATCTGCAGATGCATATTGAGTTGGTTAAAATTGGTAAAATTGAGTTGTGATCTAATTCACTTAAATGTTCCTGTGAATTCGTCGACCGATGGTGATCTCTTGATCTAGGTCATGGCAACATGCTTGTAAATTAGTACCAGAGAGCTTGCTTCATCATCTGAAAATGAAGTTATTTTTGCTACTTAGTTGATTTTCTTAATTAATATTTGTGTGTGCGGGTGCGCCGGTTTCTATGGAAAATGTATAAAGAAGCGAGTTGGGGGAAGAGGGAACAAGCATGCTAAAAAATTCATACAGGGTCTGAGGAGGTTAGTGTGTACGCAACTCAAGGTAGAGAGGCAGAATTTTCTCCATTCCAACGACTTAAATTGATGCAAGATATTATTGTTTTATTTGAGATTGCTTTTGGAAAGCCACATGATAATTGAATTTGAGTAGTAATTACACAATTTGGTTTGTTTGTCTGATTACTTGGTCTAATATATAGTCTATTGTAATTGAAGAAGTGCGATCATACTGCAGTTTCAAGGATAGTGGTTAAGAATTGCATACTATTGTAAATACATTTTAAAAAGGCAAATTTTCAAGTTTCTGTCTTATATTTCTATTTATAAATATAAACTCTTTCTTAAACATAATTGTTTTCCTTGTTTTTTGGCCATCTTTTGAAAATGAAGTAATTGTTGAATTTTTAGTTATAATGACAAAATTTGGTCAAATAATGATTTCTGGAATTGGATCTCTGACTAACAAGTCCAAATTAAAACTCAATTATAATTAAACGACAACAACAATTACGTCAAGTTGGGGTCGTTTATATGAATTCACAGTTGTTTGTATAAAAAAAAGTTGGTTTAAATTTTTATATTCATTTTAGAAAAAAAGTAACTGATAATGTGAATTCCACTTGCGAACAAATATCATGTTGAGAAGCTACCTTAGGAAGGAATCAGCCAAATGCCAATAATATTCATCATATTGCAGCACCCTGTGAAGCTTTCCAACTTTGCACCAAATTCCTCTTAAGAATTATTTAGTGTAAAA